ATCAGATTGGTTCCGGTCATCAGAAGCTTGAAGTGAAGTTGGAATGTCCTCATGGAAGTGTGGGTCATGGCTTCCGTGGAGTGCAGAGCTAAATGTACATTTGGGATACATCCACAGAGGTGTCTGCACTCATAAAAGGCGTTGAGATCCCTAAGGAAGCAAGTGTGATCTAGAAAATGGTCGATGGCACAGGCTTGGGGAAGGTTTACATTTAACGGGATTTCCTAGGCACACTCCCGCTGGCAAAGAAATCCAACGTCAACAGCATTTCAGAGTGCAGGTGCTCCTTGGAACAGGTGTGTGGGCCTCAGGGTGTCTCCCTTTGCCTTTGGGTCTGTGAGAAGAGATCAGTCTGTTCACTCCAGTAAGTCCCCTACATATGAACGAGCTCCGTTCTGAGAGCACATTCGTCAAGTCCAACAAAGTTAGCCTGGGTACCCAACTAACACGATTGGCTATATTGTACTGTACTGTAACAGGTTTATAATACTTTTCACACAAATAATACATAAAAAACAAACAAACACAAAAAAATAAAACATTTAAAATCTTACAGTACAGTACCTTGAAAAGTGCAGTAGTACGGTACAACAATTGGGGTACAAGGACTGGCATCGAGTGAACAGGCAAGAAGAGTTACTGACTGGAGGAGGGAGAGGAGGGGGGAGACGGTAGAGCTGAAGGATCCTCAGCAACAGGAGACGGAGGGCAAGCTGCAATGTCGCTCACGCCTGACGCTGATGGCACACACGTTTGCGTCTTTGAAAGTTCGCAACTTGAAGGTTCGTGTGTAGGGGACTTACTATGTCCTAGAAATAACACCGATCGATGGTACAGTATGAATGTGTTTTGAATTACGGTTTCCTAAAACCAGGTGATAATGGAAAATAATGCCAGAGAGTGGTGACTGGGCAGCTGAACAGCCAGGTACCGGGAGAGTGGAAAGCCAAAATCTTCAGGGAGGGGGTGTGGAATATTTAGAGCAATCAAAGGAGAGGAAGTAAGTGGAGGAGAAGCAGGGTTAACATAAGACTGTGTAGGTTTGTCAGAAGGTGGGCTGGGCTGGCTGTTGGCACCTGGTGCTGCTTGAAGCCTGAGGAGGCTGCGAGAGATAGATGGGCTGAGACCGCCAGGGAGAAATCATTTGTGAAAATCTGTAGGGAACAGGTCTGATTCTGCTGTAAAAGGAAGGGGGGGAAACGTCAGACATATTTGAAGGAAGGTGTAAGTTGAGGTCTAAATGCTTCTCCAGGGAGACTCCGAGAGGCCTTTGCCGTGAAATGAATCCTGCTCTATTCAAAATAACCATCGTGGGGTGAGGCCAATATACTGCATTGATCCGCAATTATTAATTAAAGATGAGCTTTGCGTCACTGCAGGCTTAACTAAAATGCAGTGACTGCCACTTCTTTCTAAAGTGCTGTACCAATGTTACTTGGTTGTTGCTTTGTTATTTACTCATTCTCCTTAGCTTTTTCCTTCATCTCACTGAGTTCAGCAAAAAGACAATCCGTGGGCCTAGCACTCCTTTCTGAAGTAACAATCCGTCAATAGAGATATCACATGTGGAATATCTTTAAAGCTCCTTATTTTAGTAATCCTTGTGCAATTTAAACTTGAACCAATGTCCGGTAAGAAGTAGGTGTTCGATAAATGTTTATGGGACACGATTGAATGCTTAAACTATTTTATAATTGAGGCAGGCCTTTCTAGAGATGATTATTAGCCACGAGTCATAGTTACAGAAATACATAGTCCATCATCCACCCAAATACACCCAGAAGTTTCTATCACAGACGCAGAGAGAATGCACTTCCCCCCCGAGATTGTGCACGTTTGTATGAAGTTGTCGTTTAGTACTGGAGAGGGGCCAGCTAAACCTTGACCCCTTCAGCTAGGGCTCTTTTTTCACTGAAACGTCACAGAAGAAGTTTTGCTGACGAAGACAACGGGCAGAGAGAGACGAAGGGTGAACTGTATCAGCTGGGGAGTTATCCGGAGTGCCCTGACTTTGCAAATAGGTTTTAGTTGCTTAGCTGCTGTAGGACAGATACCCCTGATTACGCTTAGCTGCACAAAATGTACAGCACGTCTCACAAAATGGATTGGCCTATTTATTCGCGCTTGGGGGCCACTTGAAAACTAAGTAAAAAAGAAACATGCCCACAGTCCAGGCCACAATGAGCTCTTGTAGCCACTGGGACAAGGTCGTATGTCTGCACTACATTCGCTGCCCCACCCAACTCTAACCTCAGGAGAAGAAAGAAGTTGTGTTTTCTTTCTGAACCCATTTCAAAAGCCCTTACCAGTTACTCCAAACCCTGGTTTCATTGGCTGCACAAACTCTTGGGAAGCTTGTTAAAAAAATAAAACAGATGACAGATTCCTAGGCCTCAGCCTCTGAGATTCTGACTTGGGACGTCTGGGGTAGGGCCCGGGAATCTGCATTTATTGTAAAACCACAGAGTGATTTGAACAAAAATGACTGACAGACCTCCTGGCACAGAGGTTAAGAGACAATTCAAACCCTGCATTCAGATTACGGCTGGGCCACAGGCTAGATGCGCAACTTCAAGCAAATTACAAAAGGTATTTGAATCTCAGCTTTCTCGTCTTTAAAATGAGGGTAGTAATACTCACTTCTTGGGGTGGTGGTTAGGATTGCATGAGATTACCCATATAAAGAACTTTCCCTACGGCACAGAATAAACACTCAATACAGAATATTTGGGTATCTTTCTCTGGGTGAACGTGAAGCTACTGAGGACTAATCTCCAATTAATGCTACATAACCTCTAAACAATTCCAGAAAGGGTAGGGGCTTCGCCATGACTATTTCTGCAATTTCTTAAAGTCTTGTTATCACTCACAGACTGCACTGTTTTCTCAGCAAAATTCAAGAAGGCTTTATAGTTTACAAAATAATGCTATACCGGACTTTGGGGAAGGCTTATATTTGGTAAGGATGGTAAGACACTGGAGCATGTTACCCTGGAATAAAGGAATGCTGTTGCTTTTGAAAACAGGAGGACTGAGCCACTTTCAAGAAGTTTCATACAGCGTGTGTGTGAAAGTGGAGCCCTTAGCCCAGCTCTGTGATTGCCCGTGCCTTGAGCTGTTTTGGCAAAGATAAAGTTGATTCTGTCCCCACTCAGGCTGCTTTTAGGTCGTTGAAGCAGATGGTAACTGGCTCACGTGGAAACTAAATTCCTGAACTTAAACTTTTGGAAATGAATGAATGAATGAATTTCCTCTGAGGCCCGGTTACACTCCTGACATCTGCCAGTCCATTCTGGCCCTTTGGTCCCTGAGGAAAGGTTGACTCTTTGTTGCTTAGAGAATAAATAAGCAAGGACTGCTCCAAGGTGTTTCCTGCAACCATGTGCTCCTTCCTTCCTGGATGTAGTAACCCAGTTGCCTGTGTTGCAAGGCTCAATGTCACATGTCCTTTTTTTTTTCCCACTGAGAAGCCATCAACAGCAGAAGTATTTTCACAAGTTAGATGCTTGCTGGTGCTCTAGGTCATGAGATCTCGGTCACACACTAACAGGAGGAAAGAAGTGTGGTACAGAGTCCATTTGATCAACACACAGGGAGAAATAACAGAAAAGTGAAAAAGAAATTCAAAAACAGGGATTGGAGTGCAAAGAGAAATTTATGATACTCTGGGATATAAAAGGCTTAGCTTCAGCTCGGTATATCTGCAAATCTTCAAATTCATTGTGAATCATTTTCAAAAGACTCATTCCCTCCATTCAGAATGTACTGATTAAAACCCAACCGTGTGCCTGTCCGCAGATGCTATAGAAAGCAAGCAAAACGAGGAGGATTGGTAGCTAGCAATTGCACTGAGGTGTTAAGACATACACGCGCATGCCTATCTTGAAAATACACACACGCGCGCGCGCGCACACACACACACACACACACACACACACACACACACGCATGCGCGCGCACAATGGAGAACCCTAACTGTAACTCTGTTTGGATTAAGGGCCCCAGGCACTTAACTGCTTAATCTAAGGCAGGAGGGAGGGAAAGGCCATTAGCGTTAAACCAGTTAGGCCTGACTCCAACTGGAGTGGCTCCTGAGTCGAGAAGGATGCCTGGATTTAGATAATTTCGAAGGAGAGCGGAACACATCCCATATCAAAGGCAACCATTTAAACAAAAGCCAATAGGAGGAAATGAGCTCTTCTTGTGCACACACACGGGGCTCCACAGAAAGGAAACTGCCTGATTCAGGACACTTCCGATGCCTGCTGGAGCTACCAGGAAAGGCCTGCGTTCCCACAACCTGGAGAAGGTGTCTTTCTCTACCCAGGGTTGGCTGCAGTGAAATGGGCAGGACTTTAGCAAAACCACCCACTTTCCTGGACCTCCAGAGACTTCGATTACGAAAAGTATCCTTGGAAACTTATAAAAGGCATTTTCTTATGGTCCTCCTTGTGCTTTGGGGTGTTTGGAGATAGGAAAGAGCGGGGAGCAGGCACGTAGGTAAAGTTCCTTCATTCTTCAGGGTCCATCAGCCATCTGAGACATAGCCTGTGCCCTGCGGGGCCACCTCTCTACAGGGCCCTTGTTGGCTCCCTGGGGTGGGTCGGGCCAACCAGGATGAGGCCCCTTGATCAGCGTAGGGGGATTTTACATCCACGCCCCTCAGTTAGACAACAGTAACATCAACAGGCTTGCTTCCTGCCGTCTTCTACCCAAAAACACAATCCTGACCGTGAGCTTTTGATTTTGCAGGATACAGCCTGGTGCCTGCCTGGTGCTTGTGCTGGACCCCGCGGGGAACATAGAAAAGTATGTGACATTCCCAGTTCCCAAGGACTTTAAGGTCTAGAAGAGGATCATTCATTCCAGTAAACATAATAAGAAATAGGAATTTCCCTGGTCGCTGGAGCCCCTGGGGTGGGGCACCTAAGTGTTGTTAAAAAAGCACGGAATAGCAGAGCTTGTTTTTTGTTTTCACCTTTGTGTTATTTGATTGACAGCTCGAGTACAGTTAGGCTTGGGTCTGTGGGGATGCTACTATAAGTGGCACGTATTATGGAGTCATTTTCCACTGACGTCATCTTCTGAAAGGGTGCTGCTGGAAGGAGAAATGAGAGAAATCTGAGTCTCCTTAGTCTGACACTAAGGGCTCCACACCCAACACACGGCCTGGCCCCCTCCCCCTGCCTGAGTGGATGCGCTCCTGTGGCGGAGTCTCCATCCGTTTCCGCCTCGATCCCCAGAGCTTAGGCGCAAGCTCAGAGTGTCACCACCCCAATCCTCCTGTCCTCCATCCTCCCCCACGTGACTGTCTGCAGCAGTGGCCAGTAGCAGGCGTGGACAGTGGATGGAGGAGAGAAAGTTGATCACAAGACAGTGCTCCTTGAACACATCAAGTTTCACTGCAGCTTAGGTAAATTGATTTTCAGTTCACTCTGGAGGATGGAAAATTAAGACCCTTAAATTTTCTTAGGAACTGCTCTTGGATCATTTATTTATTTGGTCAATCTGTCAACAGACCCTAGGCGAGTACCCAGAAGCCGTTCTGGGTGCTGAGCTAGAAAGATGGGTTAGCCTGGCACCTGGGCTCAGCTGGCTCACGTTCAAGCCAGACTCAACAACAACAAGGTCAACTTCAAGGACATGAGAGGGGGTCACAGTGGTCAGGGAGAGTGAGAGTGGCTCTGGGGCAGTGGGGATGGGGGACAGGGCAGGGAATGACTTTCCAAGAAGGGACATTTGATCGGGGACCTTGTAGGATGCACCAAATGACAGCCAGCAAAGAAAGGGGAGAAGGCTGTCACAATCTCCTAATTAGCATGCACCTTCTAATTAGTGGCTTCTGAGGCTTATCAAGTCTCATCTATAAACTAAAACTACTAGGCAATTAGATTTTTTTTTTTGCCTCTTTCCTCCTACCCTTCAAGGGAAAAACACATGAATTAAGAGCTAATATGGCAGCAGATAGCATGATGTAGATGCACAGAAACAAGACTATTTTATTCAGCATGGATAGGGCTAGATATTTAAGGAGACTTTTGTCCTCCAGCCTAGATCTTGTTTTGTTATCATTCATCAGAAACAGCAGGGGAAAAGGGTCGAAGTAAAACTTCTCCGCAGATTCCTGCTTGTTCTCCCTACACCATCGTCTCCCACACCATCAAAAAGGCAAGAAAAGGAACCGCACCCTTCTTTTTGGCCACAGCGTGGACCGTCTCCTGCCCTCCCCGCTGGCTAAAAATGACGAAATAAAAAAAAAAAACAACAATTCGTCTCACATGACATTGGATAACAGTGGTTTCAAAATTCCTCATAGTTTAAAGGCATTAGCATTACAGGGTTAGGTCATGGAAATGCTTGCAAAATTCCAATGTGATTCTTTAGTTGTGTTTAATTTATTTCAAATATTACCACATGCCCAAAGAAAAACCCGCACTCGTGAAAATATTTGCAGTGAATTTGTTCGCTTGCGTTTCAAACATGTTGACTTTTTTTTAGCTGTCCTGAATAAACACAGGCTATAATTTTAAGAGCAACAAATTGAGAGATACAGAGAGAAAAAGAGGCCAGTACCCAATAATACTGCTGAGTAGATCATGATCAGAAAGGGAAACGTGTCCTCTGGTAAGGAAAATATGGAAACTAAATAGAGACAAGTCAACTTAAATTCAGGATGATCCCACCAACCATTGAAGTTCACTGAGAACCGTGAAACTTTGGCTTTTTCATGTGTTAACAGCGCTTTTGTGCCTTTGGTTTTACAATGTAGACCAGCTGACAATGCGCCTTGTTCCTCATTGACTTTGCAATCTCATTCTTTGCCACAGATAGAATGGCCTGTTTGTTTTGCCACTAATGCACACTGGCCAAAGAATCAGACATTTGTTTCACAGCGCTTGTTTTGAAGAAATCAGCTCTCGGTACATCTTTACACTGCTCATAAAAACAGAGGCTTATCTGGGTGAAAGACACCCCAGGTCTGCGCTGGGGTAGGCTTACATTTATCCACTATTATAGCAAATGAAATTGAAATATAATAAAACTTCATTTCAGTCTAATTATGGAAGAGCCTGAATTATAGACTATTCATAAAGATGTACCCTTTTATTAATTACAGCGACATACAGCGATGTGAGCTGGCCAAGACTATTTTATCTCATAATGGCTCTTAAGAAGCTCTTATTAATGAAGAGATAAGAATGATTTATAAGTAGTATTACAGGTATTTATATCTAAATGAATGGTAATGAAATGCCTGAGAAGTTTGGTCTCCTAAGTAGGGTAAATATTCCCATTAGAATGACGTTAAGACAGTTAATTTATTCAGCAAGCACGCACCCTCTGCCCCCATTTTTCCTAAGTAGTTCAAAGGTAACCTTTAGCCTAGTCTCGGGGTGGTTCCAACTCACAAGGGAACTCTAATCAGTTGGTGGTGGCTGCCCGCCTAGAAACTTGTTTTGAGAAATTTTTGAGTGCCAAGTGTAGATCCCCAGGGGAAGAGCACTGAGATCAATTGGTCATGCCTGCTGTGGATGGGAAAGGTGGCCAGAAGGAACCTGAGTGACGTCCATTTGTTAGCCTGGCGTAGGTCTTTCTGAAGTGTTAGAAAGTTGGAATTCTCACAACAGTCAACTCCGGAATAGACCGCAAAACGGTAGTAACTTCCATGCTGCAGGTGACACAGTTTCTGTGTGTCTCCAAAATCCAGCCATCAAAGGCTCTTTCTGCAAGGGTGGCAGCCATTGAACTATCCCAACTCGCTGAAACTCTAAGAAAATTAAGTCGCATTTACTAAATGTAGCTCTGTAAAATGCATTTTTATTTTTACCAAGTTTGAGGAAACAGAATTATCCTGCAACTCTTCTTTCACTCCTCTCTCCTGAATGTGATATTAGGGGTAGGGTGGGGAGCAGTTAACACAGGAATGAGCCCTTTGAAATGATATTCTGATATTTTGTTATAGTTTAATCTGTAGTCGTTACTCTTGCAGTTTTTGAAAGAAAGTGAACAAGTGCTTATTTCCCTCCACTAAAACAAATCGGAAACTCAGGGCCAGGTCCACAGCGCAGCACAATCTTCTTTCATTTCTAGGTTAAGTAACATAATGAACAGAACAGAGGCAAGGAACTAACTCTTTTAAAGCTCCTGCTATGTTCTAGGCACTTTGACAATTACTTTCAAAATGTTAAATTTTTTTCCTAATTTAATGTTCCTCACTGCTCTGAGAGCTTCATAATACTGCCTCATTTTATAGATAAGAAAAGTGAGGTTTAGAGCATTTAGACTGTTAGTTCAATGTGCAGCTTAAATTAGAGCCAGCCTCTAAAGCTGGTCGAAATTTCTGTTTGGAGTTCAGAATCTAAACATAACCACTCATCCTAACTTTTAAACAGGACTTTAGCAGTGATGTTTTAATGTATTGACTAATAAGAGTTTTATAACTTTAGCATTTTGAGAGCCCTCAGTAACTGTTGGTTACTATTATTTCTCTCTCCATATACATACACATATTCATATATATACATCTATATTTGTGGACTAATGCCCTACTGAACTTCAAATGTTTATTGCAAACCACTTTGCCTTTTTATTTCAAAAAGAAAATGTGAATGCCTACTCTTTGTGTTAGAAAATTATCTAAACCTAGAAAGGGGAAATTTTTATAGGAGGATAGAGACCGTAAAGAATACAATAAAATCAGCAGCGGGTGTAAGGAACTAGAATATCATCCTGACATTTTATACAGTATGTAAATTGCAGTTCTAATCCAGAAGAAGTCTGCTGTTAGTTAAGCACTGTGAATAAACTCCTGTTTCTAAAATTCACTGTCTCTGTCTTTTGGTGGGAGGGGGCAGCGGCTTTGGTGGTAGGGAGAGAGGCTTTTTTTTTTTCTTCTTCTGAGAAGGCTTTTTATTAATTTCTTTTGCTGAATTTTTGACCCTGTAAAGAAAAAGAGAGCTATTGTACCGAACCACACCACAGGACAGGCTCCCCCAGATGGGATTTTTCCTTCCTGCTGAAGGACATAGATATCAACTTTATGAGCTGGTTACCGTCAGCTTTATCGCAAAGCCAGTAGATTTTCTTAATATACTTATTGCTGTTCTGTAAATAGCACAGGAGCAATCATGAATCTGAATCACTTATGGGGTCACAATGAGATTGCTACCGGTAATCTGGGGAAGAAAGTGTTGAGTAGCCTAAATAATGAAACTAGTAATTGGAAATCTTCCTTATTGTGCAGGCTGACAATCTCCAGACCAACCCTTTGAGTACGTATTGTCCACGTCTGAAATTTAATGAGATAGTGCATGCTGGAGGCACTTCACTCACCGTATAAAATTCTGTGTAAATGACAGCTGATGGTACTAATGACAATAATTATATTGAAGCTTTTAACTAAGACACGAAGAGAGCTCTAAGATTGCCCACCATGTTTCTTCAAAAAGAGGATTCATTAAAGACTGCGGTCTGCTTTACTCGTTTCTTTATGTTCGACAGTATTAGGAGGGACAGGCACCTGAATCCTGGCTAGATGTTAATAATACAAAAGCCCTCAGAAGACAGGCGGAGATTTTTTTTTCTTTAAAATGGTATGCTGCCTTGATTTTTAAAATTCGAAATTGTTGGGCTTCCCTGGTGGCGCAGTGGTTGAGAGTCCGCCTGCTGATGCAGGGGACACGGGTTCGTGCCCCGGTCCGGGAAGATCCCACATGCCTCAGAGCGGCTGGGCCCCGTGAGCCATGGCCGCTGAGCCTGCGCGTCCGGAGCCTGTGCTCCGCAACGGAAGAGGCCGCAACAGTGAGAGGCCAGCGTACAGAAAAAAAAAAAAAAAAAAATTCGAGATTGTCTTTTGATTGAATTGTCTTTTGAAAGAGGGACTAGAAAAGAGATACGTTCTAAGGTCTAGGACAGAAAACCACTAGCTTTTCATTCTAGGAAAACGTGACTATGGTTCTTCTCAGAGCTCTCGGGGAAGGCGTCATCTCTCTCATATCTGTTCCTCTTGTTGATCGGTTGAAGTTAATCAATCTGGGATACTCATCTGTGGATTCAGATGTAAAATGTCGTGGTTTTTGAGGCAGTGGTGTTGCT